CAGAGGAAGGAACTGAACCTCGGTATTCTAATTCCCAGCCCTATGTTCTCTCCATCACACCATCCTGAGAACCTATATGTCCATGTTAGGAATGTCACTTAATTGATTCAAGATGAAGACCATCCCAGTATATTTTTTAAAGCTAGAGAAACTCTGAAAATCAAAACCTGGCACAGACACTCCTCTCAAAAAAATTCTATAGGTCAATCTCAAAAACAGAGAAGCAAAACTCCTAAATAAAATATTATCAAATCAAATCCAGCCGTGTATTTGAAGAATAACACAGAATGACTAAGTAGAGTTTATTCCAGGAATGTAGGCTAGTTTAATATGAGGAAATCTATTAACATAATTCATCACATCAATAGGTCAAAGGAGAAAAACCACATGATCACTGTAAAAGATGCCAAAAAGACATTTGATAAAACTTAATAGTCATTCAAGATTTTTTTAAAAAGAAAAAACCTAGGAATTGAAATTTACTTCTTTAAATGAGAAAGTATAACTATCATGAAGATTTAAATAATGGAAAGAAATTCCATGCTCCTGGATTGGAAGTCAGAATTAGTAAAGGTGGTAAACCTTCATATTAACTTAAAGACTTACTACGTTTTCAATCAAAATTACAATGGTATTCTTGGAACTTGAGAAAGTGATTCCTAAGAAAAATAAATTCATGAAAACCATAAAGAAAATATTGAAAAGAAGAATAATGTGGAGAAACTTGCTCTACCAGATTTTAAAATATACTATAAACTTACAGTAAATAAAATATTGCTGTACAGGTGCCAGAAAAGAAAAATAGATCAAAGAAGCAGAATAGAAAGCTTAGAAATGGTCCCAAGTATAACTACATAAGAATTTACCAAATGACAAAGATAGCATTTATGTTCCATGGGAAATTTTGTTGAACTAACGGATTAACTATGGGAAAATAAATTGTCACATTTTTACTTACATCATAGTCCGAAATAAACTACAGTTGGATTCAAGAATTAATGTTTTTAAATAAATCATAAAAGAAATATAAAATACACACACATATATATATATTCCTCCTAAATATAACAACAAAGTCAGAAAATGTAAAGGGAAATACTGACGCATTGAACCATCTAAAAATAAAGAAATTTCATACTGTAGAGAAATAAAAGCAAATGACAAACTAGAAAACCTAAATAAAACATATATGATAGGTGAGGAATTAATATCTTTCATACATTAAAGAGATTTTATAATGCAATGAGAAAAAGATAAGTTCTACATTATAAAAATGGGGAAACTATATGGAGTCAGTTTCCAAAAGAAACACAGATGGTAAATATATGAACAAGTGTTCAACTTCACTATTAATCAAAACCATTCAAATTAAAAGTTCAAGATGGGGTATGGTTCCCATAAAGTCAGCAAAGATTACAACTCACTGAGGGTGTTTGGATACTGATGCTCTTCTATACTGCTCAGAACATAAATCGGTATACACTTTCTGAAAGGCGATTAGCAGTATCTCAGAAATCTTAAAATGTGTGTACTCTTCAGCTAAGCAATTCTACCTGTTCAGATTCATTACCCCCTCCCACAAAAAGCATAAAATATAAATGTGCACAACATATATGCACAGGAATTTATTTCATAATGTTATTTATAATAGAAAACAATCAATGCTTCACAGTAGGGAATCAAATAAGTCAATTATGGTAAATCTATTCGACAGACTGCAATGAAGCCATTGATTCACTGAATTAATCTATTTAATGACCTGAAAACCGATCGGAATATGTTACAAAGGGGAGAAAGCTAGGTATGAAATAGTATGTACTGTTTGACAGCATTTTTATAAAATACAGAAGCATAGAAAAAAATGAAAATGCTTATAGGATTATCTTCAAGTGATTGGATAATAGGTGATCTGTTTATTTTTCCATTTGCTTTTCTGTATTTTGCTATTTTGGCACATCGACAATGAGTTGCTTTTGTAATAACCAAAAAAATTGTGTGTGCACACGTTTGCATCTTATTTTAAAGAGGCAACGAGGAGCCAGTGTTTAATTCTGAGAAATGGAGTGACGCAAGCTAAGTGACATTTAGGGATATTTGTTTTCACGGCTGAGAGTGAGTTAGATCAAAGGAGTAAGAACTTGAAAAGACGGAGACGCACATCTGAATTGGGCTGTCGCAACTGTAGCATAAGCTCTTTAGGGCACAGCCTAGAGATGGATACCAGGTTAAAACAGGTGAGATCCAGGAAGCCCGTGGAAGGTGAATCATCAGGAAAAAGTGATAGACAAATAAAGATGTGGCCAGCTGTGGGGAGAGAGGGTGGGGTGAGCCCTGGGGACAAAGGGCTGGGGATGCAAATGCACCCACAACAAAGTGAACAAGCTCGGAGGTAGAGGCAGGTCATCTTAATGAGGACACAGCCACGCAAGGTGGATCCTGAACATGAGGAAGTTCAGGGCAGAAGCTTTGCTGGGATGGAGGTTCAGAGTTTCTCTAAAAACTTGCTCCCATATGAATAATTCTTCACAGTTTACAAAAATTGCTCTCTCACCTGATTCTCACAGGTGACCTGGTGAAACAGGCATGACAGCCATCATCACTCCAACTGCACAGATGAGAGAACTGAGACTGTTTTAAGCAGTTTACCCAGGTCTGTGAAACGGTAGAGTCAGGACTGGAACTCAGGCCTATCTATCTTCAAATCCAGTATTCTTTCACATATATCATGTTATTTTGCTATAAATATAGGTAGTAGTTGAAATTACATAAGCAGATGAATTTGCTAGAGAAAAAAAGTGGGGAGTGGACAAAATAGGGCCTTAGAAGTTGGCAGGCCAAAGGCAATATAACTATACAAATGAATAAGAACTGAAAAGATTCAGTGAGGATTTACAATGTAGTATGATTTATTAGGACTACAGTGGTGAGAATAGAAACTAGGAATGGATTTATCCATTCAGTAAACAAGTCTTATAAGTGTCAGGATAGTCTAGATTATACTGCGGTAACAAAAAACCCAGGATCTCAGTGTTTTAAAACAATAAATGTTTCTTTCCGGTTCACAGTACAAGTTGATCACAGGATGTCAGAAAAGCTCTCTGCTCAAAAAAAATCACTCAGGGACCCAAGCTGAGCAAGAAGCCAACATCTTCTACAACAGTGGCAGTCATTGCTCCAGAAAGAAGAGAAAGCTCTAGAGGCTCTAGCGCCAACAATTAAATGCTCTGAGATCGAAGTGACACACATCACTCCCACCACCAGCCCATTGGCCAGAACTGGCCACATGCCCCACCCGGTCACAGGGGCCAGGAAGTTGGAGAACCACAAAGATGTAGTGGGCACCTATGAGCACCAAGGCTACTGAACATCTATGCTTGGCAACAGGAAGAGGGACACAATTGACTGAGCTCAAGGGTATCCCAATGAGGAAGCTGACGGGCGGATGCAGGCAGAAATGTAAAGAGTCCATCTAAAAAAGGAAAAAATCATTTCACTGATTTCTAATAACAATACAGATTAGGTAAATCATTTGAAAGCAGATTGCTTCTCTCAGCTAAATGGCAGGACTTAAAAAAAAATAAAAAGAAATCCTGGTTCTTCATCTTTCAGCATAGAAGTAAGAAAATATATCAGAAGAGAATTAAGGGTCACAACTCAAATCAATAACTGAGTTGTAAATAGCCAGTCAGTCTACCTTCATTTTAAAAGCATCCACTGGATACAGAGCATTATTCTAAAACCGAGCTCCCATCCTCAGCTCCGTGCCCACCACCAGTCCACCCACACTGGACAAATGGTGTTTCTCATGAATGTTGAGGAACCAGAATCCTTCCTCTGGCCCAGGTGAAACTCTTTGGTGTTCCTGGTAAATTCTCTGATATACTCGGCACGAAGTAGCAGCAAGATGTACTCAGAAAATGATTAGATTCTGCGTAAGAAAGCCGAAGTTTGAATCTCATCTTAATTCAAGTTATTTACTGTGTAAACTGATGATAATAACAACCTCAGCTCACAAGGTTGCTGTAACAAGGTGAAGTGTGAAAAATCCTAACACTTATTCAGGTATTCAACAAATGCTCTTTTCCTTGCTTTAATATCGCATCTTGAGTCTTAGAGTATGTGCCACAAGCAAGATTCCAGATGTGCGAAGCACATTTATGACCTCAGATTTCATTTTACAGGACTTACATCTGAACTTTGTGTAGTAATTTTGGTAGAGAAAGTGTCAGATTTTTTTTCTCGTGTAATTTCTTTTGCATATTGTACCTCCTTCAAAGGCCAAATTGCTAGTTATAAAGCAACCCCTTATAGAGGTTTGCCTCATATCATATGACAATTAGACAGCCCAAGAATAAAGTTCAAACATATTTGAGTCAGTGATGAGTTTGAGGGATGTGTCAGTTGACCAAATATGAACACTGGGAAAACTGACAGCCTGTTAGTGATGCACAGGCCTCTCGTTTGAGCCTGGTTAGGAACACAACCATTTGCTGTAAGGACTTAATTTATCATTGGAAAAGATAGCAAATATGTTATTAATGAATGAATAAATCACTCTCAGGCAAGCAATGACTTCATTTTCTCTTGGGAGTGCTCGGCATAATATTTTTCCAGCAAACAGTACCCTTAAGCCAGCTCACGAGAGTCCTAGCAGAAAGGCTAGAATGCGTCTCTCTGCAGGCCTTGAGTGCCGTGCTGTGAGCAGAGCAGCAGATGTCCCAATATCCTGCAGTGAAAATCCTGTCTATTGGTAGATGGGTCAGTCTGCCATAGACTGAATGTATGTGTACCCCCAAAACTCATATGTTAAATCCTAACACAAAGTGTGTTGGTACTTGAAGGTAGGGCCTTCAGGAGGTGATTAGGTCATGAGGGTGGAGCCCTCGTGAATGGGATTAGTGCCCTTACAAAAGAGACTGCAGAAAGCATCTTTGCCCCTTCCACCATGTAAGGATACAGCGAGAAGACAGCCATCTATGAACCAGAAAGTGGGCTCTCACCTGACATCGAACCTGCTGATATCTTGATCTTGGACGTCCAGCTTCCAGAACTGTAAGAAATAAAATTTCTGTTGTTTATAAGCCATCCAGCCTATGGTGTTCTGTGATAGCAGCCTGAATGGAATAAGACACTGTCCATGCTGTGGGGCATGGCCTAGAGGACAGCTCTCTTCTCCTGGACCTTCAACCTCTTCTAATTGTGGAAGAATTAGTCAAAATACAGATGACCACATACTGCATTGTGCATGCGCTTCCTGGGATATACGGACCCTCAGTGATTGAGCCACAAATTGCACAGAGGGCAAGAGCAAGCTAGAAGAGAGAGGGAGAGAGAAGAAAGCAGCCGGGACAAGGAGGAGGGGCACCACAGGAAGAGGTGTCAGAGGTGACAAGAGGAACCATGCAACTGACAAGAGTCACAGTGCAACTGCTACTGGGGATCTGGTAGTGAGAGCAATGGTATGAGACAACCAAGGGCAATGGGACAAACATGGGAAATGCTAGCAGAAGACCACCCTCTAATCCTAACTTGGTTGTGTTACTTTGGAAAAGTTACTTGGCTTCTCTGAGCCTTTGCTTCCTGTTATGTAAAACAGGGACATTGTCCATTTCAGGGAGTTGGGATGAAGATTAAATGAAATGGTATATGTGACACCACAAAGCCTGTATAAATATCAGTCATTACGATTATTGTGAGAGCTTCGCTCATTCTTTCATTAAGTGTTCACCAGGTGCCCTCTCAATGCTAAAACCTGGTGCTTGGTGCTGGCAACACAAAGACAAAGATGTAAAAAACAGCAAGACAAAACTCCTAGCATCTAGGAGCTCTAAATCTAAAGGGGCAGACAGACAAGGAAATACCACAGAAATATTATAATGCAGGGATCAGCAAACCTTTTTCTGTTAAAGGCAAAATGTAAATATTTTAGGCTCAATTGCAACTACTCTGGATGTAGGCCAGGAGCAGACATGGACAATATGCAAATCAATAGATGTGGCTGTGTTCCCAAAAAAGGTGGTGGGAGGCAAGGTCAGAAACGGAGGCAGGACTGGATTTTGTAGGGCCTTGGAGGGCACCCTAAGGACTTAGATTTTATCCTAAGACCAATGGGACTAAATAACCCTCCCCACTTGTGTATAATGGCAACGTCCAAATTCTTGAGGAATTTAAGATGTTGAAGAGGCTCATCAGAAAGTTTCCCAGGCCCTTTGAATCCCTGTCTTGGGTATTCTCAATACATATAGCATGTTAAAGGTTCTCAGAGTTCTTGCAGAAAAGAAATCTATTTAATTTTACTAAACTTTTCACATTTACTTGATTAGAAAATTCTTTTTTCCAAAGAACACCTAACACAACGCCCTGGACCTAGTGTTCCATGATGTATACACTCTGGGAAACGCTAGCCAATGGATCAAAAGCAAACTCCTTAGCTGCACATTCATAGCATGATCTGCCTCCCAACTCCTCTGGCCTCACTGTCAGCTGTTCCTACACTCTGGACTCCAGCAAGACCAAACCAGTCATGGCTCCCTAAATACACCGTGCTATTTCATGGCGCCTTACATTTGCACATTCTGTTCAATAGGCCTAGAATGTTCTTCTCTTCCTTGTCTACTTGTTGAACTGGTGGATCTTAAAATCCAGCTCAAGAACGTCCTCCTTTGAGAAATCCTGAAAAACACCTCTCCCTGAACCCATCCTGTCTTACATAAGACACACACCCGCATGCATGCATGCAAAGGCACATGCACATGTACACATACACATGCACAAGTGTGCACATACACACACAACGGGCACTATTCCCTTCTTCATATCACTTCCTATCCTGTGTTTAATTCTCTTATTGCCCATATTATACTATATTGTAAGTATATATCTACCTGTTTGTGTCCTCTATTAATAAAGAATATTTCAGTGCCTGCTCAGTACTAGACACTGCAGAGATGATGTTTAAGTGGATGAATTCATTAACTTATTAATTTCATCTATGAGAAAAACATAACTATGCATTCCACCCCTAGTGAAGTCCTAACTAATCTCCCTCAGTCTCCTGTGGGAAGGTAAACGTTATTTAACCAGGGGAAAATCTAAGGTAACATGAGAAAGCATTTCCAGTCTTTGATCCTATGTTGAAAGACACAGGCTTCATTAACTTAATTTCAGGTACTGCATATGCAGTTGCAACATTTCGGTAAACTGACCGCCCTTGCTATCCTTCCTGTTGGTTAGCTACATGAGAGATCATCATTGAAGGGAGTGCCTTCCCAACACGAAGTACCAAGGTCAGACTGAATGAAGAGTAGCAGGAAGTATGTCTCATGATTCCTGAGGCCAGTGCTTCTCAAGCTTGAGTGGGCATCAGAATCACCTGGAAGGTTTTTAAAACATAGATCGCTGGGCCCCACCCTAGAGTGTCTGATTCAGCAGGTCTTGGGTGGGCCTGAGAATTTGCATTTCTAACAGCTCCCAAGGGATGCTGGTACTGCTGGTCCAGGGACCAGACTTTGAGAACAAGTGACCTAGGGTTCACTGACTGCTTCCCAATGCCAGAACTGTACTAGCAATACAAGTGTGCAAGCTATCCAATTACCACTCTCAAGGAGATGGTAAAGAGGACCAGCGCTAAATTTGGATTCCAAAGACCAGCTTTGTGACAACTGGCAAATCACGGAACTTTAGGACACCTTAACTTCTTCCACTGAAAAATGGCAATCATAAGCCCGTCACTGCCTACCCTCAGTGGTTTGCTGTGTGAATACGATGGAAAAATGACCTACAAGTGTCTATATCCTAGAAAGTCCTAAAGAATAAGAAATTTGATTGAAAAAGATAAAACAAACATATGTGAATGGTACAAAAGAAATTTTAAGGTATGCGACACAGTGGAGGGTACCCTGGAGGAAGAGTTCAGAGATGAATTTCTCCACATTAGTCAAAAAAGTTTTCATATACAAACAGGCAGCAATAAAACTTTGACTTTAACAACTGAAGGATTAGTTTGTTCCTTTTTATTATTGACAATATTCCATTTTAGAAATGCACCATGGAAAGCATTTGTTTAACCATTCACTCATTGAATGAGAAAGCATTTTTAAAAGACATGAAGGGTGAGAAAGCTCAAATGGTGTTCAGAAAACATTGAACATTTTTTAACTTATCCTATTTTGTTCACAACCATTAAGCTCTGCTGCACAAGAGTCACCACAGATAACACGTCAATGAATGGGCACGGCTCTGTTCCAATGAAACTTTATCTACAAAAACAGGCTCAGGTCTTAGTTTGCTGACCCCCAATTGAGAGGAATATGGAAGATAAAGCTGAAAAGTCAGGTTGGGATTGTGGAGAGCCTTGAATGCCAAGTCAATGAATTCAGAATTTGTTTGGTAAACATTCAGAAGTTTCCAGAGATTTTTTGAGCAGGTATTTGGTGGAGAGAGAAACATTTTAATCACAATTAAAGTGAAATGTTTGGAAGATTAATCTGGAAGGATAGATAAAATGAATTCATGCTGTGAGCAAGAGAAAATGGAGGGGAGAGATAAGGTAAATGACTGCTGTGATTGTCCAAGCTAAAAATAAAAAGGGCCTGAACTAGGCTGATATAATTGGACATAAGAGGAAAGGATGGAAATAAAATAGATTTTAAAGAGAGAATTGACAGAATTTGGAAACTGACTGGATACCAGGGCAAAGAAGACAGAGAAAGCAAAAAATAGCTCAGAGTTTTAAGTGCAGCCTGCAGAATGAAGCAGATCTGAGCTTAAATTGTTTGTTCTGCCATTTACTTGGGCAAGTTATGAAATCTCAGCCTTAGTTTCCTCACCTGTGAAAGGGTAAGAACAGCGTCTTCCTCAGAGTGCAGTTGGGCAGACGGAACGAACTAATGCAGGTAAAGCCCTTAGCACAACAACCAGTATTTAGCAACTGTCCATTAAGTGGCAGTGGTCATAACATTGATTATGCCAAAAGATTGCTCTCCAATCCCCACCCCTGTTCCCATAACAATTTGCAACCTAGTTTTTTCACTTTAAATATCATGAGCATTGCACACGAAAGAAATAAGGCTTGATTTTCCCAAATCTTATCAATTCTTTCCTGTTAATTCTCCCACCTCCCTGTTTGGGTTATGTTAAGTTTGGAACATAACATTCAGTTTTTCAAATTCTGCAAAGACTCCAAATTATGAGACTGTATCACAGGTCACAGGCAGAAAGAACTTCTCCTGGCAAAGCTGTATTTTCTTCCCGTTTGCATTCAGCTGGGCCACCCTCAGCTAAGCTTGTCTCTTACTTATAAATCTTACTGAAGACAGAATTACGCCACCCATGCCCACATCCTAAGTTGTTCCTAACATTCCTAAGGTATCATAGATAACAGGTTAAGAAAAAGTTTCAGGATGATATAACAAGTGCCACCAACTTCCCAACCTGGAATAATTGAGTCATCTCACCTAGGACAGTTCCTCCATTATTTAACCAATTCTACGTTGTAAAGTCAGTTGCTTGCAATATTCCACTCCTGGGACCAAAAATGGATCAGTAAGGACTGCAAATAACTCTGGGTTGCAAATGACAAAACAAAAGACAACTCAAAATAGCTTAAATGTGCATTATTTCACATAGCAAGAATAACTGAAATGGGGCAGCTCCTGCTTTGGTTAATTTGACCTTGGTGTATAGGCTCATTGTCTATTTATATTTCTCATTTCATGACTTGCCTATTTATCTCCTGTGCCCATTTCAACTGATATTTTTCTTTTTCTTTTGATTTATAAAAGTTCTTTATATATCAAGAATTTCAACTGTTTTTCTATCATACGTATTGAAAATATTTCCCCAGTTTGATGGTTCCTTTTCAATTTTGTGATGTTGTTATATATAGAAGTTTATACTTTTATTCATATATTATAAAATTTATCCATCTTTTCCTTTGGAGTTTTATATTTAGTTTATTTGCTTAGGAAGCCCTTTCCTACCTCAGATTAAATAAGTCTGTCCTCTTATATTTTCTTCTACAATATTTATGGTTTAATACCTTATAGAGAAATATTTAAATTAATTCATCTGAAATTTATATTGGTGTAAGTATGAGATAGGAATTTAATTTTTTCTCTAAATGATAGCTAGTTATCCAAAAATACTTTACAGGGTATGTGCTCTCTCCTTTGGACTTAAATGTTACTTATGGTATACACTAAGTTATTATGTAAAATTGATTTGGCTTCTTGAGTCTCCATTCCATATCACTAATAGGTCAGCTTATTCAAGGGCTATGGTCACACTGTTTTAATTATTGTCACATAATAGTTTGTTTTACTGTCAGGCATGGAAATTCCCTACACATTTTTCTTCTTTTTGAGAAGACTCGTAGATGCCAGATTTTTTCTCTCAGATGATCTTTGCATTTGTTTTTGTCAAGCCGCCCCTAAAAATCTATTAGAATTTGGATTGGAATGGAAATAAATGTTGAAATTAACTATGGAGAAAACTGGAATTTTTATATTGAGTCTTGCCACCCTGAAACATCTATGGCATTTCATTTATCAAGTTTTCTGTAAAGACTCTCTGGGAAGTTTTATAGTTTTTTTGATATGGGATCACATACATTCCTTAATTTCCAGGGCTTGTGGAGGGGCGGGGAGATAGTCTTGTAGTGTTGTCATTGTCTTATTACCACTATTATGAATGAGATATCTTCTATTACTCTCTAGTTAGGTATATTTTGTATGGCCATCTTAACTGAACTCATTTATTAGGACTCAGTTTTTATTAAGACTCTTAATTTTTCAGTCAATTGTTGTTGGTACTGCAGGTAGGCAATTTTATCCTCTGCAATGAGTATTTCCAATATTATGCCTGTTCTTTCTCATTTCATTACGTTGACCAGAACAGAATTTCCAGGAAAATGTAATATAATAATAATAGCAATCTTCTGGATCCCGCTGTTGACTTCAATGGCAATGCTTCAAATATTAGGATGAACCATATGAAAACGTCATTTTTCCAGGCCAAAAAAATTCAACTGTCAGCAATTTCATAGCTTTCAATCTATCATTTGGCCATTAGGCAAAATATTGGAATTCGACTTCAAATAGGAACTCATTATTAATTAAACAAATATTTTTGAGATCCTATAGTGTGACAGACACGAAGTCAGACCAGGGATGTATAACTCTAAACATGACAAACACAGTTCCTGCCCTCTTGGAGTTAATATTACTATGGAAAAAGCAGATAATAGTTCAGCTAACAAATAAAATTTAACAAATTAATTAAAATAGTGAAAAGAGGAGGAGCTGGCCCCGTGGCCGAGTGGTTAAGTTCACGCACTCTGCTGCAGGCGACCCAGTGTTTCGTTGGTTCGAATCCTGGGCGCGAACATGGCACTGCTCATCAAACCACGCTGAGGCAGCGTCCCACATGCCACAACTAGAAGGACCCACAACAAAGAATATACAACTATGTACTGGAGGGCTTTGGGGAGAAAAAGGAAAAATAAAAAAACCTTTTAAAAAAAAGTCTAAAAAAAAATAGTGAAAAGAGGAATTACTGTGTGCTAGAAACTGGAGCAGAGGCACAATTCAGACAGGTAGGTCATAATTTAAGGTGGGACATTAAATCGGTCCTTTTAAGGCAGGACATTAAAGCTGAGAGCTAAAGGCTGAGACAGAGCCAGCCACGTGACAAGCTCTGAGGACACACTTCAGGCAGAGACAAGCTAGGAGCAGGCTCTGAAATGAAATGTGGCTGGTGAGTTCTGAAATCTGTCAGGAGGCCAGTGTAGCCAGAATGCCACAAAGTGGGTCCCCAAGCCACAGGCCAAGCCTGAGTTGGTGCCAGTGCGAAGAAAGAGAAAAGTTTTGAATTGCAAGCAGATTAAGATTTAGGTTTAGACTGGGCTTTTAATACTTGAAAATGAGCCATCTCTTACAGCTGAAAGTGCCAGCAAGCGACGGGATCCTTCCCACACTGGCACACTGAGTGGGAGAAGGACCACCGATGCAGCACCTTTGGAGGCACTGGTGGGAGAAAAATAAAGTCATTTCCTGATTGTACCAAACTGCATTCAGTTGTCCTATAAACCAGTTCCCCAGGCTAGAGAGGCAAGTTGAGAACAGATCTGGGTAGGCGTTGAACTTTATTTTGGAAACCAAAAGGAAGTGGTAATGCTTTTTGAGTGAAGACTTGATTCTCTAAAATCAGAGCAGGAAGGTGTCACAGGGCCCTGAGCAGAAGAGAGGGCAGGGATTGGCCTCCTTGTGGCTCTCACCCATGGCGAGGTCTGCATTATCTGTGCATTCTTCTTTAAAAGCCAGCAGAAAGCATCAATAAAACAAGATAAATTTTCACAACTACCCCCAGGCCAGAACTAGTGACTCGACAGCTGTCCCGTTGGCCTATTTCATATCTCAGAAAAGACAAACAAGTTGTGTCTGATATTGGCTAAAAGACCAGTGGCAGAAAAAAGCCAGAGCTGGGTTCCAGCCAGGCCTAGAAAAACGAGGGCAGGTTGTGGAGGGAAAATGCCCAGATGATAGTTGGCATCCAAATAGGTAGACAAAGGCAGAAGCAAAGCATAGTGTCAAAAGGAGTAAGGCTCAGTAGATGGGGGGAATCCCAGGTGACTATACAAACAGAGTGCTAGTAAGGGGCATAGTGTGACAAGGGGCAAGCCACACTTGAAAGCTCAGGCTGGAGCAGATGATATTGTGTGGCAGAAGTGGCAGCAAGAGGTCATCAGGTCCTGCCCCAGGAAACAACTGGGTCCCAAATTGGACCAAGTCTCCAGACCTTGCAAGAGGCCGATAAGACCAGACATTTGATTGGAACCAGAAGGTAAGACAGCAAAAGATATCTCCAAGGAGCTGGGACTGTTTTATGCTGAGGGATCTAAGACCTGAGAGGCATTTGGAAGAGGGAAAATCAGTGAGTCTGGCCTGAAAGGAGGCAGCAAAGCAGAGGCATGTCAGGGACAGGATCTATTTGGCCTCAGAGGACCTTCTCTGCCTGACGACAGCAGCCATTCAACCCCACCCCTTTGTCTCTGCATGAGGAGGCTCTCCTCTCACTCACCATCTTACCCTGATTATGTCTGGGCATGTTAAAACTGACGCCAGCCATTGGGATACGTAACTCACTACTTGCATGTAACAAAGTAACAGAAGAACGAGGAAACACTGTGAGCGTCATATAAGAGAATCAGGACCAATGGGCCACTTGTCGCCATGGTAACCATAATCAAAACAAGGATTCCAGCTTTCCTGAAGCTGGTGTTTAATGATGATTGTATTACACAGAGGAGTAACTAATCCCACAGTGCATTATAAACAGAGTTTCTCGTAGCCAACATCATCAGTGACGGAGAAAAGAACTTGCAACCTGGACAAAGTACATTTCTCAAGGTGTATGTGTAGCTCAAGCCAAAAACACAAAAAGGAAATCTCTTTCAGCTCAGCTTGAAGTCATCGCTTTCTCCTGGCCTCCTGTTTTTTCCTCTCCACCCCAGTTTTTAGGGAGGGATACCTTCATGAATTCTTAAGAAACACGATAAATTTGCTTATAAACCCAGATATGCATATCCCCAGCCCTTTGGGTAAATCAGACAGAAATGTAATGATTACTATGAAATATTCGCATTTGGCGTGGATCTAATGACTTTCTTTTATGTGATCAGGGCAATATACAATCCAGGCATATCTCTTTGAAGCAGATCGTTCCCTTCTAAATGCCTGACGCAAATATGAAACACGACCTTCCCTCTCCCTTCGCAGCTTCCCTCTCCCATGGCTCGGAAGCAGGACCTGATCTCTAGGCCCACTGCTGCCACCCACTGGTTGGGAAACCAAGTCACAACTTCCCTGACTTCAGGTTTCCTAGTCTCTCCTTTAGACCCCAGGATGGAGCACAAGTTCACCACTCTGTTTCAAAGCCTGTTCCCTTTTCCATCTCCCATCCAGGTCTCAGGAAGAAAGAGCAGTCTGGACAAGAGGGAAATCAGCACACAGGGAAGCTGACTTCAATTTTCTCTTCTACTCTGATTCATCATTGGGCCAAGGGCCCAAGACCAACCAGTTCCCGTGTCTCATTTCAGATTTGCATGAAGAGTCTGATAAGTTGCTGACCTGACAATGAATAGATCACCCCATGATCAGGTGTCTACCTCTGGGTCAATCAGCTCTGGCCAGGGGTGGGGGTCATCTGGTACCAATATGGCTGTCCAGTCCATCCTCAGTGGCCATTCCCAGAGAATGGGGGGTACAGTAGGGTTCTCAGGAAATCATATTCTTCCTTGCACTCTGATACAGCCTAACCTTCAGTTGTCACTTTTTTCCAGTGTCTGTGCTACTTCCTTGACTTTAACATGGAGATGGTGTCATACACAGAGTTGTAATCAAGTGCCTGCTCTTTGGTGGCTGCACTAGTTTCTGGCTGTGCAACCACAAGCAACGACCTAGCCTCTCTGATCTTCCTTTTTTTTTTTTCACCTATAAAATGAATGTGCCCCATGGGACTGTCATAAGGATTTTTAAAAAGATCATGTATGTAAACTCCTTATCCTAGGGCCTGGTACATAGTCAGTGTCAAATTAATATTAGTCATTATTATTACCATCATCATCATCATTCAGTCAGGAGGGCCATTTTCAGAGCTTCAAGTTGAGCACCCAAATTTATTCCCAGCCAAGCCCAGCCTCCCCCCATTTATTAAAAAACATAATCAGCTTGTCAATAATTAAAACATTCACTGTTACTACCCAGATCCACCCATCCAGCATGGTGAGTAGAACAGATAAAGTCAGTTCTGACCAGATTCCACCTCCAAATGGATAGGCCAAAGATGCAGTGGAACATCCTGTGGGGGAAAAGAGGCATCTTCTCCAGCTTTATCATTCCTAGAAGCTGGAGTAGGATTCCTCAAAATGATGGAGAGCTAAATAAACTAGCAGAGATGAAATTCGAAAGGTAAATCTTATCCTGTGGCAAGAAGTCTATTTAGGAGGAAAATATTCCCTAAGAGTAGGAGGATGTTTCAAGGGACTCATCAATAAACCTTCAGAAAAAAGAAGAAACTCCCTGCTGAGACTTTGTGGGTTTTGAAGACATTGCAAAGCAATCTGGCTACTGGACTGCTCACATCCTCAAGACCCTAAAGACTAAATGATTGAAAAAGAGATAGATGGCCAAGGTTACTTGGCACCTTCCTGTAGTTGCTCCTTGTGGAATGAACTTTGCCTGGAGACGCAACTGAATAACATTTCAAAGGAGTTTACAATCTAAATCAGAGCAGAAACTTTGGGAGTGGGAATGGGAAGACACGTAGGCAAGACCACTACCCTGGATCTTGGAGAACTGATGTGAGTCCTGACTCTGCAATGTACCAGTCAGAGACCCTGGGCAAGTAACTCAGCCTCCGTGTATTAGGAAAGAATTGAATAATATCAATGATTTTTAAGCATCTCTACCAAGTCCTGCAGTCCCTCTGTAAATTCAGAGGCCACTGCAGGTCGGGGGGAAGGATATTACGGAGTCCACGTAGGAGTGAGCCTCTGGGTCCCACCACCACCATCACAACATCTTCAGCTAGATAATCTCTGCCCTTTTGCTGTTCCAGATAAGATTTTGTTAAGAAAAATCTTTTTTCTTTTTTAAAGCAAGAAAAAGAAGTAGATGAGCTACAAATCCATTCCAGCTCTGACAGTCTATGATTCCAGATGAAGGGAATGGGATTACTTCAAGAAGAGGCTGGAAGGGAGGGTTAAGACAAGATCCTGAAGGGCCTCGGATGCCATGCTAGAGCACTAGTGCTTTCCCCAGTAGGGAGCCATGAATGGGGAACAATATGACCAGGTCACTGTACTAGCAAAGTGCTCTAAAGGATCAGATAAGCAGAGTATGCCCTGGGAGTGGGGGGGTAGAGCCCAGAGACCAAGTTATTCTAGCACTCTCTGGACACCAAGTAGTTTATCAGTGTTTTATCAGAGAGGCGGAAAATAAGGAAAGAAAAATAGATGGAGGAGGGGGCGGTATTCTTCACTAGCAGCAACATCCATCTGATTTGGTTTGGTTTGGTTTTTGCTTTTGCTTTTGTTTGTCTCCTAACTCCATTCCCATCTTCAAAAAGCAGAGTAAAAATTACTCTTTCCACTTGCAGTCAATGTTGTTGACTGGTCCCTTTACCCCAGATGAACACAATGATACCATGGCAAAGGGCGTGTCATCTTCAGCTAATTAAGGTGAGGATACTGTTCCCCAGCCAGATGTCAATGGTTGGCCACCTGTCCTAGACGGATCCTCACTTCTCCATGTCCCAGATGCTCCCAAGCTCCCAATTATGCGTCTGCACCTCCCTAATCAGCTGCAAAGAGGGACTTTCAGAATGTCTTTGTTCCAGAAGCCTCCAGCCCACCACACCTGCTCCCACCATCAGTTTGGCCAGGGCAGGGAATTCCCACAGATGTCCCAGTGGACTTGTTAAAAATGGGAAAGCCACATTCCATGCCTCTGATTTACAACATGGCATGAACTCAACACTTTTCTCATGTTCTTGAGTCCAGAATGAATGAGCGAAAGCAGATATTTAAAGCTGGCACTGAGAGAATATGCTGTGCCTTTAAAAACACCTACATATAACACTCTTCAGCTGTTCCACACCTAGTCTGGAGGGCTCATTGAGAAGCAGGGCACCGTTCCCTTGACTGTGGCTATGGACCTGGTTCTGGAAAGAGCTGCCTGCCCATGACACTGGCACCTGGCTTCTCCTATCATTCCTCCAGGTTGCCTAGCCCTTGCTAGGGTGTGTGCACATGCTACTCCTCTGCCAGAAGCACCTTCCCCAAGACTCTTTTTAGTTGTTCATACATTCAAATAATTTTTTAATTAATTGAACAGAAAAATGAGTGAATAACAACTGCTTCTTGCAATCCAGCTTCTTGAAATCAACTTTGTTTCATATAATAGCAATAAAGTTTTGGAACCAGAGAACTGAAATGCAGAATTTTCAATAATCAAGTCCAATCCAAGCATTTTGAATTTGAAGAAAGAGAGGCAGAGGGGAAAGTTACTGAAGAATAGCAAATGCTAACAGTTATTAATGGTAGGGTCTAGAGGCTGTGCTGAGTGCTTCACACATATTATCACATTTAATCCCCACAATGACCCTAGGAGGTAGGGTCATTTTAGCCTCATTTTACAGATGGGAAAACTAAGGAAGAGAAATGACTAGTCCAAGTTATACAGACTTGATGGTGTCAGACAAAATTCTAGACATGTGACACCTATGGGGTGGGCAGGGAGAAAGAAAGAAAAGGCAGAGTGGAGGGTCCTCTCCATGGATAGGCCAATCACTTTACCTCTCTGAGCCTCAGCTGCTACATCTGTGAATTGAGGATAATTACACTTAGTTGCAAGGCACTATACAAATGAAAGAGAAAAGAGTGCTTTTTTCAAAATGAAAAGATTTATTGTTATTTTCTGTTTAAAAGAATAATACATGCTTATGTTAAAAAAGAATAAAACTACCGAAAAAACATGAAGAAAGTAAACATTATCCAAATTTCCACTATCCAGAGATTATTAGCATCTTAATGCTAATACTACAAGGAATCTGTTTGTGTTTATATGTGTGCATATAATTATTAATAAATGGAATCATACTATTCATGCTGTTTTGTGATCTATTTTTTTAAATCAAGTTATACATAGTGAAAAATCAAGAAAACCTTATTTTTAGGAGCCCATTCTTCCAAGCTTAGATCAGCCCTGTGAAAAGAACCAGGTGGTTTATTTATCATCCTATTTATGGCTTAAGAAACTGGTCCTCGGAGGCAGGATCACCACCTACAGTGGTACAGCCTGTGCCCTGCACAGAGGCCAAGGGGACACATGGCAGCTGAAAGCCAGCCTGCTCCAGTCTCCAAGCCAAGCCCCCTGGCACTGCTACAATTTGCACGAAGGCGCCATGTGTGCTGGCCTCTGAGCAGGGCTGACGCTAGCCATGGAGACCCCAGGAGCCAGAGAGCCTGCTTCTGAGCAAAAACTGGTGCCAGTGAGGGTGAGCAGAGTCATTGCTGTCCATCTGCCACATCTGTGCCAGATCTATGCCCTGTGCCCCAGAGCACTGGGTCAAACCATGGCATGCACAGAGCACACTCTGAGAATGTGTGCTAAGTCAGTTCTGCTCTATGTGTGGAGTGCTTGTGGTGGATTCATTCTTTTCCTCTAAGCAAATTTTAGGAAAATATCCAAGTGATAGGAAATTGAGCAAAGCTTTGGCCCAAATGCGTTTGAGTGCTGCCTGGGAGAACCAGAGGCTCCAAGTCCAGTCTCCGCTTAGGCTGTTTCTGGGGGTCTCTATATTTACCCGAAGCTCACTGAATGCCTCTAAAGCAGCTGCAGGATGAATTCCTTTTCTATTGCTGCATAACAAATTACCCCAAAATTTAGTGACTGAAAAAGACAAGCATTTCTTATCACAAAGTTTCTGTGAGTCAGGAATCTTGGGTGCAGTTTAGCAGGGTGCCCCTAGTTCAAGGTCATTAATGAGGTTGCTGTTAAGCTCTCAGTTGTCTCTAGATTCACCTGGGGTTGCAGAATCCACTTCCAAGCTCACCCACATGGCTGTTGGCAAGCCTCAGTTCCTTCCTACCTGGGCCTCTCAGTAGGGCCACCTCGTAACACGGCAGCTGACTTCCCCAGCACCAGGGAAGCCCAGAAAAAGACACAGAGAGAAGAAGAAGAAATGAGTGAAAAGCGGAGGAGAGAGGAAGGGAAGGGAGGGCAAGAAGAGAGGCTACAGTCTTTTTGTAACCTAATCTTGGGAATGACATCACATTACTTTTCTGTATTCTATTTATTAGAGTCACTAGGTCCAGCCCACCCTCAAGGGGAGGGCATTACAATGATGCACCAACCTCCATCCTCTGACCTGGAACATGAATATAATAGCTAGTGTTCTAGCAGCCATCTTGGACAATGAGGATGAGAACCACATACTAGGGATGCTGGATCAGAAAACAGGAAGGAGAATGCTGAGTCCCTGGTGACTTCATCACATCATCATTGCCTCTTACTCTAAAGAATAAAACTCAAAGTGTTAAAGCCACTCTTGAGTTTCTCTCACACACAGGTGAGTCTAGCCTTAGTTAATATAGGTTGTTAGCACTAACCTCAATTAAGGGTTCAGATTTAACCAGAATTTATTTTTTAAAGATGGGACACCTAAACTTAGAGAGGTAAACTTATTTTCCCAGCATCACTCAGCTAGAGACTGGCAAGAATGAGACCCAAACTCCTGGTCTCCACATTTACCCAAGCTGGTTCTGAGTGTCCCCAAAGTTTGTTGAACACTCAAGGCTCTGTTTAAGATGTTCCTGGCAGCTGGAAAAGTTCGGACTCCCTCAGGCCATGTATTTGTGCTAGAACATTCTCTGCTCTGTTTCTCTGCTCATCAAGTAAACAAGTGAAATAGAAGAGGGAAAATATTTTGGATGAATTGATGGTTTGCAGTTCAAAAACTTTTGTCTAATGCACACTCAAGCCAGTGGCCATGGAAACTCCATTTCATTTCCTCAGTCTGTCTTTTTGCACACCATTCCTTCTTTCAGAGACCAGAAGTTAGCAGCAGCCATAGATTAAATATGTTCTGTAGAGTGGTGAGGTGGCATGATTTTTCAAAGGATCTTGGTACACACATCCACAACCTGGAAATGATCATGTTTTCATCAGAGTTGACTCAGATGGCTTGTCTCCTTAGAAAGAGCCTTCTACCTCACTTGCCAGAACTGTCAGCAGAGCCATTCAAAACAGAATCATCATAGCTGTAATGTTAAACATTTTATGTCACAGAAGACACGCTTAGTGTCCTTGCCCAGCCACAGCCCTTACTCCAGGAATGGCTATGCTCAGCACCTGCTAAAGGGCTTATCTTGTTTGATCTTTTCCAAATCATGGAAGACCAGGAGACCAGGAATGATTATCCTCACTCTTCTTTTATAGGTAGGAAAACTGAGGCCCAAAGAGGAGAGGGAACTTTTCCAAGATTACTCACCCAGCTAGCTATAAGGGACAGAACCTAAACTCAAGTCTTCTGACTCAAGGCCTGATGTTTTACCCACCATATCATGTGATCAAGAAAAACAGAAATTCAAAGTGAATTTGACTGGCACTCCCGTAATTCTCTCAGGCAGTCAAAATTACAGGATGAGACAAATAGATGGTGAGAGAAACAAGGCAAATCATGAAGCCTGTTTTAATTATTTTACTTTGTTTATAAACAAAATAAGTCCCTTTAACTATGGACTGCAAACTCAGATGTCTTAGGGGCCAGGCAGGTAAAGAAAAAGAGGAAAACAAGCCAGTATGTGACAATTGGGAACGGGGAGACTGGGACAAACTGGAGTGCTCGTGACCAACTTGAAAAGGTCAGTCACAACTCAGCTCCAGTCATGTGGGAATGCAGATCTTAAATTACCAGATCTTCTCAAGTTTTATGAAAAGCTAGAAATCTGACTTTTTATATGAAATTCCCTCATTGTTAAAACA